CACTCCCTCACTTTTTCCTTCTCTTGCTCTTTCTTTCTTGCTTGCTTTTTTGCTCTCTCTTTCTCTTCCCCCTCCCTCCCTCCCTCTGCAGGATTGGAGTTCAAAAAGGAATTGGGGAAAGAAATGGAGGATGAATACCAATGTTTATGGAACACTGTAACAAAATTGGCCATGAAGTACAGTTTCGGAGATGCTTTCCCAGTACGAAAGACCTCCCAACTGTTTCTTCAACAGGAACAGAGATTATGCAGAGGTACTGACAACTCCACAAATTTGAGAGGTAGAAGCATGATCTTTATTACTGTCACTAGAAGTCCTAGGAGTAGTGATCTGAGTTTATCCTGATCAGAAATCTAATCCATGCTTCATGGATTCTCTCCTTCTTCCTTCCACTGTGGACAGCACAAGTATTGTTATTGAATTCAGTAGAAATTTGGTTTGGTTCCATGATTTGTGAATGTTCTTCAGCTGGTTTCAAAGTGGGCAAAGTGGCTCTAGTGGGCAAAATAAGACAATTTCTTTGTTATCTGTGGGGTATTAAGGCATTTTCTGGCACAGCATTTGTGTTGCCTATTTCTGTATCGCTTTTGGAGGCTTTGAAGTTATGGCTAGACTTCATATGTGGGAAGGTTGCACAATGTTACATGTCATCTTTAGTTATCTAATGTAAGTGCATATTTAGGAGACTGTGGTCTTTATGGAATCAGTGCAGGAAGGTAGATGCCTGTGAGATGGGACAGGTAATAGCATTCAAAAAAGTTAGCATAGATGTCTAAAATACTTATGAGAGTATCTACTTGGAGGCATAATATCTGCTTCATTCTTCTTCCTGTGCTTGAGATGAAACAGGAAAAGGGAAACTAGTGAACTGCTGCTTACTTTTAACAAATTTTACTTTATAGAATTTCATTTATAATGTAACTTAACATAATTTTCAATTATGATATGCAATTATATATATTCTTAATTAAACAATATTAACTATTTTTTACACTGTAAAGACTATGAAGAAGAAATTCCTAACATTGGACTAATCTCAGTGAAATCTGATCTTGTTGAAGAATATGCTGGAGATGTTTTGAAAGACCTACCTGTTTTAGAAAGGTACATATATAAGTTTTATTCTAATGAAATAACATTATATGGGCTTATTTTCTACTCCCCTGCACTTTACATCCATTTAATGTTCAATTTGTACAAATATGGAAGTGCTTTCGCTGTGACTACTTAAAATTTCACATTTACATGTACTGGTTCAGAACAAGAATGGATAAAAGTCAATATATCCGTGTTTTCTCATACTGTTATTTGTTTGCATTATAGTATTTGATTCTTATTCTACATACTGGAGCTGTTTTTCTTAATGTACAATTTGTATTTGAAAGGCCTTATCTTAAATTGCAAAGCTCAGATTCATTTCAGGAAAAGAAAAATATTAAATAAAAGTACTGAAAAAAAGTAAGATGATATTATCCTTTAAATTTGCTCTGCTGCTTGTGGAAGTGGTTTCTGTGCTGTGCAATTAGTATTTTTTAGCCAATGCGTGAGTTATGTAGTTACACTGCATTCTGTGATTAGTCTGTCTGAAACTAAGAGGAAAACAATGGGGTTTTACTTTGTTAGTAATTCTTTCTGAAAAACTGGGGTCATCTTGAAACACTATATTTGGAGTAGAATTAAACCCTATGTTGATTTTCTGATACAGTAAAATTGTGTTTTGATAAATATCCAGTTATTTGAATGTTTTGACTGTTTCATTAGACACGCTGGAAAACACTTAATTTCTGCTCTGTTTCATGTTTTGTTTTGTTTTTTTTTTTATTTCAGTAATGATCCTTCAGTTACTTCACTTGTTAAATACAAGGAATTTGATGAGCTTTGTCACTGGCATTCTGGCAGACCTTTGACTGAGGAATATGAGCGAGTACGGTGCAATGCTGATGGTAAGGAAAACAAAGACAAAGCCCATGTGCCTGTGTTGGCTAGAACAGTATTGTAGAGGTTATCGTGGTCTTGGAGAAGGGCTTTTCATTTCAGAAAATATTTTGAACTGTATAAGTGTTTGCCGAACTAGAGCTACTGCAATAGATACATTATACTTAAACTGATGTGCCTGTGCATTATGTGTATGCATTGTGTGTTAGCTTAAATGGCTCTAACGAGTATAACAGAATGAGCAAGTGTGGTCAGATGTTCAAGGTACGTTCCCTTCTGCTTGTGAAATGCTTCACAGATTTACATAAGCAAACTGTATGTACATGTGCAGTTTAATGTTTAAATATAGAGTTTGGATAACGCTTGATAAGCACATCCACACATAGGCAAAATCTGCTCACATGTTTGCACAGTACACACATAGCCAATCTTATATTTTGAGAAAAGAAATTCAGAAGTAAAAGAAGGTGTAATGGTTTAACCCCAGCTGGCAGCTAAGCACCACACAGTCGCTTACTCGCTCCCCTCCACCTCAGTGGGATGGAGGAGAGAATCAGAAGGGTAAAAGTGAGAAAACTTGTGGGCAGAGATGAAGACAGTTTAATAGGTAAAGCAAAAACTATGCACGCAAAAAAAGGAGAACAAGGAATTCATTCACTACTTCCCATCGTCAGGCTGATGTTTAGAGCCATATCTAGGTAAGCAGGGCTTCTTGAAGCACAATGGTTAATTGGGAAGACAAACACCATCACTCCAAACATCCCCTGCCTTCCCCTTCCTCCTTCTTCCCCCTGCCTTTATTGTTGAGCATAATGTCACATGGTGCAGAATATCCCGTTGGTCACTTGGAGTCAGCTGTCCCAGCTGTGTCCCCTCCCAGTTTCTTGTGCACGCCCAGCCTGCTTGCTGGTGGCTTGGCGTGAGAAGCAGAAAAGGCTTTCATGCTGTATAAGCCCTGCTCAGCAATAACTAAACGCCTCTGTGCTTTCAACACTTTTCATCACAAACCCAAAACAGCCCTATACAAGCTACTATGAAGAAATTTAACTCTATCCCAATAAAATCAGCACAGAAGCAAACAAAATTTTGTATCATAATTCTTGATGTTAGGCATTTTATTTTCCTGTAAGTTTTTTTCCAGTTTGAGATACTAAGAAAAACAAACCATGGACTTAGTTTTGATGTTAGATTTACATGTTTACATGAAGTAAAGTATATGGTACTGTACGTACCAGCAAGTACATGAAACTTTATCTCAAAGATGTTCCCATCATCTATTGCATGATACAGTGAATTAAACTTTGAAAAACCTACTAGGAGTTGAGAATGGATTACTGTTGGTACTTCCAGTGTTGCTTATGGTTTTCATTTAGTGACTTAGAAATATTGTTTCCTGAGCGGGTATTTGCACCACTTGACCTCTGAAACCAGGGTTCCATCTGCTCATCTTCCAGACTGGTTGATTTTTTGCATTCTTCTGTGCACTGTGATTTCAACAGGAAGTTTGGAGAGCATAACCTGCAGGATAGTAGCTAAAGCACCTTCCTTAATGTTCGAGTGGAAGGTTTATGTCCACTCCAGCTGAAGAGAAGGCCCTCTCTCTCCCATGCCTTGCATGAATACTCTGAATGCTGGCATATGTCATTGCAGTCTTTCTTGTGAAAAACAGAAATATCTTCTGAGATGGTCTCCACACTCAGAAACTGACTCATCATTTTGATTTTGGGGCAGAGCAGAATGCCTAGGCTTCATTGTGGAGCTATCCATGTGCTCAGTTCGGTATCTTCCACTGGCTAGCCTAAGTGTTCCAGCAGCTTTAGTTATTTATGTTCTGATGAAGAGTCATGTTTTCATGGGGAAGAGGTCTCTTTCTGATGATCTGAACTGCCTTTGGAAGACACCTTCCTGTTTTCATGGACTGTGAAAAGCCTAGGCACTTTGCTCAAACAGTTATAAGTTCTTTACAGGCATCCTGCTTGTTAAGTTTTCCAACATTTTAATGTGTGGCTGGAGTAGTTTTAATTAGAGTCTATTGCCTGTCTCTCAGATAATTCAAAGTACTGTTGCATTTCAGTGAGTCTTAGTGGCCACCCTCTTTCAAAATGTTTTTTTGCCTTTAGGTCAATCAGGAATTTTTAGGAAATTTATCCATTACCTAACTAGCTTTTCTTGGAAGTAGATTAGGCTGGAATTCTATCAGTGTTTTTCAATAAATTATATAATTTTATTAATTTTTAATCAATTATCAGTTCTATCAGAGTGTTTTTTAATCAATTATTATTAGCAAAATCCAAAGATCCAGAAGAAAGAAGACAAATACAAAAGTTACAGAGTTTTTATCATTTTTATGGAAGCACTTTGGAAGGCAGCACTTCAAAATTTATTGTACATCAAGAGGATATGTCAGGAAATGCTAATGCTGCTGTCAAAAAGACACAAAAAAAGCATGTGAGTATATTCAAGTTGCTCTTTCCAAATCTTTTTTTCTATTATCCAGGAAAGGATTTATATTATATGAGTCTCACAGCTGAAGTTTTATATTTTGAATGCACTAGTAGTTCTCAATTTAAGAAATTTAAATGCCTTTTTACTTCAAATTTATTTAGCTAATTGGCAAAAGTATTTTGTTACTAGTTAGGGATACTGATGAGTGATTATATTTTAACAGGCACAAGTAAATAAAAAAAAATAATAAATATGAACTCTGTAAAAGCTGATAGGTTTTGGCTCATGGCCAGTATTTTAATATGGAGTGAAGGAAACTAGAGTTCATTATTTTAATTTTTTTTAAGAAACTATTGAGAAATACAGGAAAAACGATTGTTCAGTTATTTATTTCCCTGCACTATTTGGAAACATTCTCTGTGAAAGATCCTGCAGATATTGTAATTAATCCTGACTATGTGAACATTGTCAGACATCACAGAGAATGTAGCATGTACTTGCATACTCATGAACAATACTGAGCAATAGTAATTTGAGTAGTATTTCATAACCGACTCTGAGCGCCCTGTCTACCCATCTTTTAAACACCTCCAGGGATGGTGACTCAACCACCTCCCTAGGCAGCCTCTTCCATTGCCTGATAACCCTTTCAGTGAAGAAATTTTTCCTGACATCCATCTGTACCTACCCTGGTGTAACTTAAGGCCGTTGCCTCTTGTTCTATCACTAGTTACCTGGGAGAAAAGACACACCCCCGCCTCCCTACACCCTTCTTTCAGGTAGTTGTGGACCGTGATAAAGTCTCCTCTCAGCCTTCACTTCTCTAGGCTAAACTGTCCCAGTTCCCTCAGCTGCTCTTCATAAGATTTGTTCTCCAGCCCCTTCACCAGCTTCATTGCCCTTCTCTGGACACACTCCAGCAACTCAATGTCCTTCTTGTAGTGAGGGGCCCAAAACTGGACACAGTATTCAAGGTGCAGCCTCACCAGTGCCAAGTACAGGGGAAGGATGACTTCCCTACTCCTACTGGCCACGCTATTTCTGATACAGACCAGGATGCCACTGGCCTTCTTGGCCAGCTGGGCACACTGCTGGCTCATATTCAGCCGGCTGTCAACCAACACCCCAAGGTCCTTTTCTGCTGGGCAGCTTTCCAGCCACTCTTCCCCAAGTCTGTAGCGTTGCATGGGGTTGCGACCAAAGTGCAGGACCAGACATTTGGCCATGTTGAACCTCAGACAGCTGGTTGCAGCCCATTGATACAGCCTATCCAGATCCCTCTGTAGAGCCTTCATACCCTCAAGCAGATCAGCATTTCCAGCCAGCTTAGTGTCATCTACGAGTTTACTGAGAGTGCACTCAATCCCTTCATCCAGATCATTGATCAAGATATTAAACAGAACTGGCCCCAACACTGAGCCCTGAGGAACACCACTTGTGACTGGCCTCCAGCTGGATTTAACTCCATTTACCACCACTCTTTGGGCCCAGCCATCCAGCCAGTTTTTAAGCCAGCAGAGAGTGTGCCTGTCCAGGCCATTGGCAGACCGTTTCTCCAGCTCAAGCAGAATGCTGTGGGAAACGGTGTCGAAGGCTTTACTGAAGTCCATGTACCCCACATCCACAGCCTTTCCCTTGTCCACTAAGTGGGTCACCTTATCATAGGAGATCAGGTTAGTCATGCAGGAAGTACTGTTTTAAATAATTCCCAAAACACGAGTCACACAGATGAGTTGAAAACTACAATGTACCTGCTGTGATTGTGTTTATGGATTTAAATTCTATAGGTGATGCATGCATGCAGGGGTGGTTAATTCTAAATATCTTCATTTTATTGGATAGAAAAGTAAAGCAGAAACAATTGTAGAGGAAAACAACAGGCGACTAAAAAGTAAAGAAGAAAAGAAAGAACAGGAGCAATGGAAAGCCTTGTGTATACCAACTGAAAAGGAAATAAAAGAAAATCTGACTGCTGGAATAAATAAATTGGAGTCATTTCTCAAGACCCTTAAAAATAAGTCTGTGAAGTTCAGCGTGGAAATGACAGGCCTGTCTGCCTGTTTAGAAGTGTGGAAGGAACACTGCAGAAAGCAAGGTATGATAGCCAAATTCATGTTCAGTATTCAAGTTCCACTCCCTTTAACCAGGAGAGTGAGTGACTTTGGATGTTCTCAGCTGGAATAAAGATGTGTAAATACAGCCCTGTCTCAGGAACATGAAACAGGCTGTGGTCCTCGTCAGCCATAAAGTATCCAATTAAATTGTATTGTAGCTGTTTTCCTGTTTTGCTTTGCAAACTTTGCATGCATAAATAATTTATTTATTGTATATATCTAATGATTATGTATCATGCACAGTAAAATGTATCTCTATTGCAGTGAATTGTTTAATTAGCTGAGGTGGTTTTCTCATAGTCTGAATGATGATGATTTGCACAGAAATCTGTGCTACCATCTGTAGTGGCCTTCTGTTTCAGCAGAATTAACTTGTTCAGTGCATACCCTCAGTCAGGAGGGTCCAAACATACACTGCACTAAACTTGTTTAGAGTTGTAAACATTAGAGTGAATTATGTTGTTAATAAGATTGAATAACAAATGTGTGGGTCAGGAAGATGAAATGGAGGAGCTCAGTTATTGCACAGATGTCAGAAGTATAACTTCTTGCTTGGAGGAGGCTTTGAACAACCTGGTCTAGTGAAAGGTGTCCCTGCTCATGGCAGAGGTGTTGAAACTAGATGATCTTTAAGGTCTCTTCCTACTTATACCATTCCATGATTCTATAACTCCCTTTTATAACTGAGTGTGCAGAAGCAGATAGAATTATTTGGGTTCTTGGTCTTCAGTGGCACTCTTTGTAGAGGGCACAGGAGTCTGGGTTCTCTTTGTCTAGTTGTCTTTGATTTTTCAGTTGTCATAAGTGTGATTGGATGGATAAGGTCTGTTCTAAAAACATCGAATATCAGAAGACTCGATACAATTGCCTCTTTTTTTTTTTTTTTTTTTTTTAAAAGGTAAGGAATCTAAAGATTTAAGCAAAGCTGTTCAAGTCATGAGGAGAATTCATATCCTTCTTGAAAAATATCAAGATCTCTTGGAGAAACCACATCTACAAAAGCTGACCACATATCTAAGACTTCTTGGATTTGAGAATTTGGCATACTCCCTATCTGGCCAGGTAACTTCATAGACTGTAATGATTCTACTGTAGCTGAATATCAACAGTGTTTTCTTAAACACTGATTAGTGTGTAGAAGTTCTATATTGAGCTTATTTTATTTTGTATTATTCCATAAGAGTTGGAACTGCCTATTCTTGCTTCAGATATTAATCTTAGTTCCATGGATACATTTCTCTGCTTGATGTGAGGACTAGCTGGCACAATAGGCCACCTCCTCTTTAGTAAACAGAAATTTATATGGCTGCAAAGATACCCTTTGAATTATTTTGAAAGCTTATTTCTGGAAAATTTTTATCATCCTTCCTTGAGGATCAGGACTAAGAGGTAAGGGAGGAAGTGATTGTTTTGTAAGAAATTTTCTTCCCTTGAAGAGTGGAAATTATTTGGCTCTTTTTCTATGTGAACTCAACTAGTATACGATGATTGTTTGCTCTTGGTTACATAGTTACCGTAAGGGTGTTTAGTGCTCCCAATAAAATATATTACATTTGAAGAAATAAAATTGTAGGAGCAAAGGATCTCAAAAGGTCTATTGTAGAAGTTTGTGGTGATAGAAGGGATAAGGTAGCAAGTTTAATGTCTTGCTCAGAAGATCAGTCAGTGCATTTTGGACCTACTTTTGCTTTTGCAGATGCTTGTTTCTGATTATTACTTTTGCCAAGTTGGGGAAATTTTAGGAATAATTGAAATTTTCAGAAATAACTGAAAATATTTATTTCAAGATATTGAAAAAGTTGTGAAATTTCCATCCTTGGAGATAGTAAAAACTTGTCTGAACGTAACCCTGAGTGACCTGATGTAATTGCACCAGCTTCTAGCAGTGAGTTGGATTGTCATCCAGACATCCCTGACAACCTAAGTTATTACAGGATTTTCTAATCTTCTGGTGTATGTTGTAACATGTAATGCTTTTCTATACAGCTTTCAGGATCAGGTGTAACCAGACATGTTCATGAACACTAAATTTGTTATGTCTTAGGGTCTACAGGGATTGTTTAAAAATACAAAGCTTTACAAAATTTGGGATCACACACAGGTTTTATATTGAATTTCCTTTTGCAACTGTGATTCACTGCACAAGGGGTTAGGGCAGGTTAAAGAGGAGAGACATAAATATAGGATGGGAAGATTCTGTCAGGCAATAGCTTGAAGAGATTAAGCTTTGCCTGCTAGCCAGTTTTGTTAGCTCTTCTGACAACAAGAACACCACCACCACCAGCTATGGAAGACATATTATTTTTAGAACATAGTCTCCATTGAAGAGTTACACGTGTAACCCTGACATGAGGCTATATGGTGTAGATTTCTGCAATAAATTATTTTAAAATCACCTGCAACTTCATATGTTATTCAAAGCTTGCAGAGCTCCACAGAGCAAAAGATGTGCTATTTTCTTAATCTCTTGCTAGCTTTCAAACCAACTTGAATTTTCATTTGGTCATATAGACAGGAGAAAATAATGATCAGAATATAAGCAAATATGCCATCGAAGTGGGTCCAGCTCGCTTTCAGCTACAATACATGGATTATTACTTGCTCAGAGAAGAGAGGAATGATCCAGATCCTCGAGTGCAACATTTTATACCAGATACATGGCAGGTAATGGGACACAAACTTTTTGCATAAAGTTAATGGAAATTATCTTTGATTTTTTTTTTCCATTTAAAAATATACATTATTATACTACTTGTCAAAAATAGTGTTGTTTAACAAATTCAATTTTGTAATAAATTTAACAAAGTCTGTAGGTCATTTTTGACTGTATTCCATGTTCTTTCTATACTGAGAGCTTTTCTACAGAGAGCTTGGCCCAAAGAATTCAACATAAGAAATGCTAAATCCATGGGATTTCACTGCTTATTGTTATATTTGATGGTGGTAATGCCCCATTTGGGTGATATCTGGCTCTTCATCCTCTGCTCCATTTATCCTTAAAGAATTACCCACAATAAGAGTTGAGAAATAACTTTTCTGTCTAAAGCAGAGTAAATCCAACTCAGATTTTCTTTTTTTTTTAATTTTTTTTTTAAATTACTGGGCTGGGAGGCCAATTAAATTTGCTGGAAACCAAAGGATTTTATGTAAGGTGAGAGAGCATGGAAGATGACAGTAATAGGGAATAAAACAGATTAGTAAACACTGTGTGCTAGGAGCAGGAGAGAGATTTGGACAGTATTGATGTAACTGTTATAATGCAAGAAAAAGTACTGCCTTGTATAAAACAATAAAGTTTTTGGAACTAAATTGTACAGTGCTGAGTTAATTTGTTTTATTTTTTAATTTGGAAATGTCCAGGTTTGGACTCAGAATGTTCTGGTATCAGTATCTCAGACCAAATAATTGAAATAGACAAGTTATAATTTGCCGTTCCATTTTTTTTCCACTAACAGTTTAAGAGAAAAGAATACAGTCATAAAATGACTGGGTTAACTCTGACTTTCTGTAGTCTAAAATCTGTAGATAAGGTCTATTCGCAAAAACAAGGGATGTGTTCACAGAAAGAGCTGGTTTACTCAATAAGAACTTCATAACAAGACAATTTGACATAAGTAACTGCTTTTCTCTTAGCGAGAACTTCTTGATGCTGTAGATAATAATGAGTCTGCAGTGATTGTCGCTCCCACTTCATCAGGAAAAACGTATGCATCATACTATTGCATGGAAAAAGTTCTAAAAACGAGCAATGAAGGAGTGGTTGTGTATGTTGCTCCTACAAAGGTGAGGCTGCATCCTACTACATATTCTGTATGACTATGATATTTCTCAGTATGATTCTGAAACTGTTTAAGGGAACTTGTTACACAAATTTAGTTGATAATTTTTAATTATTATTAGAAATCAAATCTTTACATTCTATTTTGCATTTACATTTATTAGAAACAGTGTGTTTTCCAAAAATCTTCAAAATATTTAAGCTCATGTAGAGTTTTAGTCTATTCATATCTGTATAGCTAATTTAAGGTCAGAAACACTAATATAAACAAAAGTGCTGTAAGTAGCATGTTAGGTAAATGATGAGAGTTCCAACACAATATGGTGAAAGTAATGTTAGAACAGAACAATGACCAAGCAAGTCAAGTTGTTGTTTTCTAGTTGAGTTCACCATTAGATGATTCAAGAGAAAATTTATGAAACTCTAAGCAATGGGATATATTTAATGAGAGTTCTACCCTAATAGTTAAGAACTGATTTAAGTGCTGAGGCACAATGTTTTGATTTCTTCCGAAACTTATTTTAATGTTCAGTGACATGATTTTTGGATAGTGAATTATATGTACTGTTATTCAATAACAATCTCTACGGATTATTTTCTATAAGTAAAATGATTTTTTTTTTTTTTGTGATTATACACAGGTTGGGCATCAAAATTGTCTTTTAATTTGAATATCAGTCTGAATGCAGAAATATATTTTATCCCCGCAGCCCCAGGACTTTGAGATAATTAAAGTGCTTGCAGACGCAGTAGAATGTGATCTGTTTTTAGCTGCTTTGGAAATAATTAAAGTACAGAATCAATAATGTATAACTCACTTTACACAACGCTAATTTTCTTTGAAAGCATTTGAGTATAATTGAAAATCAAATACCATATCTTTTTAAAGTTAATATTATTGACAGTCTAGACTTAGTAATACATTACATACTACATAATACTCCAGTATGTTAATGTCAATGACAAAATTGAATGCTTTTATATGTCTTGGAATATCATATGCCTTTAGACATACACTGTCTGGTTTTGTTAATGACCTGCTTTATTTAAGGCCCTTGTAAACCAAGTGGTGGGAACTATATACAATCGATTCACCAAGAAACTTCCAGATGGATTGGTAGTATGTGGAGTCTTCACGCGAGATTATCGCAGTGATGTAATGAATTCTCAGGTATATTTTTATCAATATTTGAACATATAATAGTAGTGACTTCTGTATTCCATCTGGCTTCTGAAAATGTTAATTCTAATTGTAACAATTGTGCCATTACTAAATACCCAGTTCAGGAATACTCTAAGCATGTTTGTACTGCTTACCAGAAGCTTTCAGTCTATGGTGTACAACCTTAACTATTCATCCTTAGGGGACATACAGTTGATTACTTGTTCTGGTTAAAAGAAAAACCATTAAAATCCTTTGGTTACCAGCATACAGCAGATGCCTTACAGAAATCCAGACAGAATACATCAGTAGCTCTTCCCTTGTCCACTGATGTAGTCACTCTATCATAGAAGGCCATTAGGTTGGTCTCTCTTGTAGTGAGGAGTCCAGAATTGGACACAGGACTCCACGTGTGGCCTCATCAGTGCTGAGTAGAAGGGAAGGATCCCCTGCCTTGATTTGCTGGCAACAGTCCTCCAAATGCACCCCAGAATACCATTAGCCTACTTTGCCACAAGGGCACATTGCTGCCTCATATTCAACCTGGTGTCCACAGGGACCCCAGCATACACTGGTGCATGAGGTTGTTCCTCCTCAGGTACAGGACTTTGCACATCTCCCTGTTGAACTTCATGAGAATCTTGTCAGCGCATTTCTCCAGCCTGTCTAGGTCCCTATGGATGGCAGCATGACCCTCTGGCATATCAGCCACTCCTCCCACTCTGGTGTCATCAGCAAAACTGCTAAGTGTACACTTTTCCTTATCATTCAGATCATTAATGAAGATGTTAAACAGGGTCAGACTGGTGACCCCTGGGGTATGCCACTAGTTACTGGCCTTCAGCTAGACTTGGTACCACTAATCACCAGCCTCTGGGCTCAGCCTTCCATCCAGTTTTAAGTCCACCTCACCATCTCCTCATCTGGTCCATACTTCAACAACTTGTCTGTGAGGATCTTATGGGAAATGTTTTTAAAAGCCCTGCTGAAGACAATATCCACTGCTCTCCCCTCATTACCAAGCCAGTCATTTCATCATAGAAGTTGGTCAAGCATGACTTCCCCTCAGTGAATTCATGCTGAATACTCCTGATGACTTTCTCCTTCTTTGTGTGCTTGGAAATGATTAGTTGCTCCAGGACTAGTTGCTCCATCACCTTCCCAGGGATTGAGGTGCGGCTGACCAGACCGTAGGTTCCTGGATCCGCTTTCTTACCCTTCTTGAAGATAGCAGTGACAAATCATTAATTCATTCTTGCTTACCTTAACATCAAATACTTACATATTTTTAAATGCTTTTTAAATATAGAGTCTAGTTGTAGCAGATTAGTCTGTGTACTTGAAAATAATGCTTTACAAACCGTTCTTCTTAGATACTAGTGACTGTGCCTCAGTGTTTAGAAATCTTGATGTTGTCTCCTCGTTGCCAGAAATGGACCAACCGGATCCAATATGTTATATTTGATGAGGTAGGCATTTTTTAATAGTAACCAGTTTAACAAATATATGAAAAATCTTGAGGAAAAATGCCGAAAAGTCAATTTTTCATTGCATATATTATTGCTGGTAGAAAAAAAAAAACCAACTATTTTCAGAAATATTATTTCAGACTAACTTGCTTTTTCCTGTGTGCTGATAGTACTTATGTACTCTAGTGATAGAACTGAAAACTCTGTTAGTCCTCAAGAAGATGTACAGTTCAGTCAAAGCTACCAGAAACTTCCTTTATTTCTCTTGAGCTGGTTAATTGAAAAACTAAGAGCCACTACTGTAGTGTCAGTGGCACAAATGGAACACTCCAGACTGGGATCACATACATTTCACATCATATGGTATTTGTCAGTCTTTCCAGGGAAAAGGTCAATGACTAATCTCGCTAAATTTAAAATTTCTACTGTATTCTTTCTTGTATATAGAATTAATTGCAAATGATGCCATTATCTAGGGTACAAACAGTGAATGTAGTATTGAAATTTAGACTGATTTGTTATCCAGTGAAGTCTGGTGAGGGATTAACTGACCTTTGATTTGGATGGCATGATCTTTTGCTACAACGTAAGAATTATTCAGTACTGATCTTGCCAAACTTTTGATTTTTGCAAAACACAAACCAACTCCTGTTATGACTGCACTTCGATAAGGAACGTTTCTTCTTTTATTTAAATCCTTTTCCCCAAAAACATAGGTCCATTGTCTTGGCAGTGAAATTGGAGCAGAGGTTTGGGAGCATCTTCTGGTAACAATTCGATGTCCATTTTTGGCACTCTCTGCTACTGTCAGTAACCCGGAACACCTGACCGAGTATGTGTGGAATTTTCTTGCTCACAACAGCATATTTAAATTGGATATGAACGGTTTTAGATAGAGAGATCAGTTACTATTGGGAAGCAACTGATTTGGAGTTATGTTGTTGTATGTATTATGCTACCCTCGCTCCCCCAATTAACACAAAACGATGCTGTAACTCTTAACTCTGTAATGAGAACAGGTACTACTATTCCTTCGGGCCCTATAATTGAACTCTGCAGAGGAATTTAGGAGGCTTTGACATCTATTTGAATTGCCAAAGCCTGATAAGCACGCTTGTCCATCAACAGTCAGAGAAGACACTTGCACTGTATTTATATATGTAATGGTGCTATTTCACATTTTTTATTTGCACCCTGGGATAAGCTGGAAAAAATTGAGGATGGTGAGGGGGACTGGAAATTCTAAAGGAGAAATTAAACAGGTTGTAGTAGTTAATCTATTATAGGTGTAGCAATTTTCTTAAAATATATTTTACAGCTGTTTTTATTTTATTCTTGCACTGTAGGTGGTTACAATCTGTGAAAAGGTATTGGCAACGTGCTGAAAATACAATAGAAAGAAGCTCTACAAACTCTGAAAAGAACTTTACCAGAAAATTTAAAGTGAAATCTAAAGTACAACAACAAAAGAAATCATATCGTGTTAGACTAGGTGTGTATTATAATATTTTGTAACTAAGAAATACATTTTGGTGTTATTTCTACAAAAACTTTAAACATGGAGTGTGGAATTAAGCATATTTTATTTTGGTTTTTATTTTAAATAAAAAAAAATCTTGTAGTTCTTGCTTTGTAAGACAGCCAAGTGCATCACAACATCATTTTTATCTCTTCACAGTCTTGTATGAAGAAAGATACAATGATTTGGAAAAGTATGTTTGTTCTCTAAAGGGCAGTGATTTTATCATTGAACATTGTCATCCGTGTGCTGCATTAACAGTCAATCATGTAAGCATAATACTGGTGTCAATATTGTTCAGAAACAGTTACATTTACACAACATGGATTCCATCAAAATTATTTCTTTATTTTTCTTTTGTTTAAACTCTTTGCAGATTGAGAACTATGGTATTCCTTCAGATCTTTCTCTGTCTCCACGAGAGAGCATTCAGCTTTATGATACAATGGTAAAAGTCTGGCAAAAGTGGCCAAGGGCAGAGGTGTGTATACACAGTTGTGGGCAAAATATATCAAAATGAATAGATAAAAAAGTACTGCAATGTTTTATATTAATGTTGTTTTCCAGGAGCTAGATCCTGAGGAGTTTGTCTCTTTCAAGAATAAAGTAGTAATAAAAAAGTCAGATGTGAGGAAATATGAACAGGAACTGAAGAAAGAACTAAGCAACTGGATTGTGCTTGGCAAAAGACAGAAGGTAACAGTTGTTACAGGGTGCTTTCTTAAGATTGTTTACCGCTTTAATAGTATGCTTAGAGTTTCTCCTCCCATAGTTATTATTTATAAAGTTCAACTGCTGCTGTACTTGAAAGATAAGCACTAATTTCCACTAGCACTAGCATTTCCATAAGCACTTTCAAGGTGATGTTTTTACAAGCTTCTCTGGGAATCAGACTTACAATATTGCTGTGAGATTTCAATTCCTGATTCCTTTAGGTATCTCCTACAGTTAGTGAGAATATTGTGCTGTTGCTCTGCTTGTTTAATCTACCTCTTTTTGCTGCTTATTTGAAACCTTCTGTGTAACCACTGCCAGTGTTTATGTTGCCATGTAAAAGACAGAAATTATCACAATGACCAGAAAATCAAATCCTTGTTTGGAGGCAACCTATTCCTATATAATAAAAAAGAATATGAGGAGGCAGTGAATCAACAAACAGGAAAAAATAAAGAATATCTAGGGAAAAAATCAAGTTTCTTGGAATACGACACTTAAATGTGAAAATATATCATAATCAGTATGTTAGTGATACTTTATTATATGCACAGTGACGGTCATGAATGCTACAACAGTTTGCATTTTAAGCTCTTACCAAAGTCAGTTGGTAACTTGCAGACCTTTGTGGCTATTGTTGGCTATAGTTGATAACTTGCAGACTATTTGTGGCTGTTGCAGTTTGGAATGATTTAAAAAATTTGAGCTTATAGAAGTTGACACGGGAAAATGGAGTCTGCATAGTTGTTAGCCTCCAGCCAGAAGTTTCTGCCATTAAAATCTCCATAATACTACTACTTTGATCAGGTGAATGAGCTACTGGAGCACCTTAAGCCAAGACCTGTGGATTGCTCAGAACAGACAAAGTGGGAGCGTTTTGCAAGCTTTGTTGATAAATTACAAGAAATGGATAAGTTGCCTGCCATATTTTTTATGTAAGTATTCACATTGCATGTGTTATATGATTATTGCCTATATTCAGAAAAATGGGTATTGGAGATAATAATTTGATATGGCTTGGCAAATGCCATTAGTATGCTATTTGTTTAAAACCTTTGCTTTAAAACTGAAGGCCTACAAGCTCTATCAACCCATGTATCTTCATGGCACTAAAGGTTTAAATAAAACTGGGAGCATTTAATTACTCTGTGGAAAGGGTAGAATCCATGCATGATGTCTGAGAAGATCACCAGAAACTGAATCACATTAAAATGAGAGTCATATTCTCTGTTGCTTTGCCCCAGTGTCGTCAGTAAAACTTGTGGAAAGCGTATGCTGTTTATTTAGAGCTGCAAGTTGTGTATGTAGGGTCAGATTTGCTAGGGAAAAGGGTGGAATGAGGTTCTGTTAATATGTGTATTTGTCACATGGTGATGGTTCCACTGCAGAGCCTCTAACAGTCTCATCTTACATCCAGTGACATGCACCAAATCAGTCTGTTTTATATGTATGTGAGATGGAATTACATAACATCAAACATGGACAGCTTTGAGCCTACGGACAATACCATCATTGTCAGTGATATTGCTGATATTAGTAAAGCAGGCATGTACCTCAGTGCTGGACTTAATAATAAAAACAAAAGAAGCTGCTTATCAGTAAACAGATGTCGGTAAACAGCGCATATTCTCACTGTAATAATGCATAGGAACAACTATGTGAAAATGGAAAGTGTTCTCATCTCTGTATGAAGCGTGCCCTTCCTTACATTGGACACTTTGATAGTTAGGGGTACAATGCTCACTGCCATTTCAGTTCTCAAGTGCTTGATGCTGATAAAAAGGCATTTCTAAAAGAACTCTAGAAAGGAAGAAGCAAAAAGTGAATATACATCTTGATGACACATCTCAAATTACTCTAGTTGCTGATAAATTATTTATTTTTCTATTTTTCAGCGACTGTTTAATTGTAAATTAATGTTATGGCTGATTTCAAGCTGAGAGGCAATCTTCCCCCTCTACTCAGCCCTAGTGAGGTCCCACCTAGAGTATTGTGTCCAGTTCTGGGCTCCCCAGTACAGGAAGGACATGGAACTCCTGGAGTGTGTCCAGCGAAGGGCGACTAAGATGATTAAAGGACTGAAGCATCTTTCATATGAGGAAAGGCTGAGGGAGCTGGGCCTGTTCAGCCTGGAGAAATGACGACTCAGAGACATTTATAAACATCTAAAGAGAGAGTGTCTAGAGGACGGGGCCAGACTCTTCCCATTGGCACCCAACAATAGGACGAGAGGCAACGGGCATAAACTGCAGCACAGGAAGTTCCACCTGAACATAAGGAAGAACTTCTTTATTGTGAGGGTGACTGAGCACTGGAACAGGCTGTCCAGAGAGGTTGTGGAATCCCTCTCCCTGGAGATACTAAAAAACCATCTGGACAAATTCCTGGTTCATGTTCTGTAGGAGTCCCTGTTTCAGCAGGGTGGTTGGACTAGATGACCTTCAGAGGTCCCTTCCAACCTCAACCAACCATTCTGTGATCCTGTGACTTTTAGATAACTTGTAATTCCTTCAAATAGTGAACAATTTGGGGGCTGCTGTGTGCCCTGCAATATTATTTTGGGGCACTCAGTAGGAATTCTTGGTGACTTATGGCCCTGACAAGGGACTGCAGGTAGAATATGAATATCCTAGACAACACATAAATGATCACAGTGAGACAAGAACACATCCCAGATGCAGAACCTAGTGCTATCAAGCTGGAGGATGAGGTACAGAAATCTGTTATCTAAAGATCTTTTAAAGTACAGGTGTAGTGTAGCAGCACATGGTAGACCTCCCAGGTGTCTTTGTAGTCAGACAAAAGATTCAGAATTAAAAAACAAAACAAAAAAACCTCTCTAGTTAAATATCCCAGTCCTGAGAAATCATGATGGAGATGAAGAGGATGAGTAGCCCTCACAAGAAGTAGACAGTGACTTGGAGTGATAGATTGATATTTATCCTTTGTTGGTGCTAATAAGTTTTTTTTTCTCCCTAAGCCATTATTGATGCATGAGATTGCAAAGCAGTCGTGCTGTATGGTGTTATGTTAGCATGGAATTAATGGGGACTCCTGAGAGCACAGGTATCAGAGCTGTAGAAGCCAAATTGCTATCGCAGCCATTGATGGTAGGAAAAAAGAAATAGTACTTGGAGCTTACTTTTCTTTTCCTAGAGCCACCAAGGAAGAGGCTGGTACCACTTCAGTACTCCTTATGACTGGATAACCTCAACAGTAGAGAGAAATTAGATCAGTCAGTCTTGAGCTTCAAAGGGGAAAAAAAAGAGTAAATGGCAAATGACTGTTATTGAGCTCTGTCATCTGTGAAGATGTGAAAAGCTGAAGATATGGAGAGGTTACCTCCTAGCCTTAAAAATCTGGTTTTGGTCTTCCTGGATGAAAAGATAAAGTCCTTCAGTTTTTGCTCCTGTTCTTGGTGACTGACAGATTTCAATGACTTTTGAATATTCTAATGGACTAGGATGCAACCTACCCTGATGTTTTGCCAACACCTTGTATGGTGTTAGTTAACAGGATCTGCCTGCTGCAACAATAATAAAAAACCTCACTTTTTGAGAGTGAAGCTGAAAAAGTCTTCATCCCAATTAAATTTCAAACTGTCCAGTACTGAAAAAGCTATGAGGAAGAACAGCTATGTAGAAGACCAAGAAAGACAGGCACTGATTCTCAACTGGGTAGTTGAAAAGAATTGAAACTATTTAAGCTACAATTTGCTTTATCTGTATGTCCAAGTGGCCAGCTTAGGGAAAGGTAGAGTTGAGCATACTTTCTATAGATAACCTAACCTATTGGCAGAACCATTTTACATTTTACCACTCAGTTTTGGAATAATAGCAGTTTGAAAGTGAATGCAGACTCTGATTTGGAGAGGTAATAGGGATATGCTTCTAATGATAAGATTCTAACTAACATCATGATAAGGCTCACTGCATATTATTGTAACAGCATTACATATAAATAAAAAACTCTATTGGAGTTCACCTAACTGATGTATATTATATATTATTTACTTTAAGATTTAACCTGTATTCAGTGGAATCTGCAGCCAAGAATGTATTCCTCAATTTGCTGAAAAAACAAAAAAGTGATCAAGACCCTAATACTGAGAGGGAAAAAGAACATTTAAAGGATGAACTAAGAAAAGTGAAAAAAATGCTAATAAAATTCAACTCTCAGTAAGTACTATAACTATATATTATTAAAAAGCTTAAATGTTATGACGGAGCATAATTTTGTGATAACTTATTTCTGGGAAATGTACCTTACAGCAGCACATTCGTCCAGCTTGTGGTACAGTAGTCCCTGCTCCTCTTTGTACTTCAGCAACCTACACAGTAGAGCAGCTCTCTGGCAGGTATCAATCAGCAGTACTCAGTGCACAGTCAACCAACAGGAAGATACTAATGTTGCTGACATTGCGTAACGGGCTGGCACTACAACTTGAGAAGCAAAGAGAGAGACCTAGGTGTGTGAGATTGGTCAATTTGGAATAATTCACTGCTGAGATATCAAAATATCAGAACAGTTCTTTCTCCAGACAGTAACTTGTGACATGGATCTCTTAAAAACAGCGTAGCATCTGACCCTGGTGCTGGGTCAGCCACTGTGGGAAAATAATTCCATAGTTTAGTTTCACCATGGCTGGTACAGTGGTGGATCCCCGAAGTATGGGTTCACCTGAATGGTGAGATGTTCTTTGAATATTTGTCATCCTTTTGCTTGGATTGTACTGTATTTGTTTCCCCCTTAACCTTGAATTTTATTGATTTTGTGATCATAGAGTACAGATTTTTATAAGGCATTTGGCAATAGGGCTATAGTTATAAGGATTGTCAGGAGCATAAAGCATCGTGGTTTTGCCCTTCTAATCATGACAATTTATAGTGCATTCTTTAGACATAGTATCATGAAAGAATGAAATTAGCTGACTTTAACAGTAGTAAGTGAGAGCTTGAAAATCCAGTAGGAATTTAGGCACATATTTAGAGATTGAAGTGGCTTGAAAATCTGTTTCTAGATAGTTTTCCATCTCCTCTTGTCTTCAGATCCTGTCTTAAATCCTTGCAGTCCATGTCATTATTGGCATTAAATCCATCACATTTCTCTTTCATGTTTAATTCTGCTCCTGTGTAATTTTGTTACCTTACTAATTTACTAAATGAGGTACTTAAAATTGTTGTATTCATCTTCCTCCATTTTTGTAATTACTATGATTCCTCCTCTGTACTTCACCCAGAATTACTTACTGTTTTACACACAAGCCATGATAAAAGGAAGCTGTTAACATATCAGTATATTTACATTAACAGATCTACCTACATGTTTGAGTGTACAGTTTAAAAGGGAATGAGTTTGCATCTTTTTATTTTAAAATCAATGAATGTATGTTAATTACATTAAAAATACTTTAAATTGTATATGGTATACAGGAATGCCAAAAAGTTGAGCCCAAGTAAAATGGAAGACATGGTACATCTTTCAACTCAAAAAAACCAATTAGAAAAAAGACTTAAAAGGCTAACTGCTATCCCTTCTGCATGTACTTATGCTGATCCTAAAGCAGTGGATGAAGATGTAAGTAATTCACTCATAATTATAACATGGTTGTCATTTTGTATGTCTAGAATGCATGAATTTGTGCATAAATGCACAAAATATATATAAAGTGTGATTCAGTTGTACTTAATAACAGTGTGCAATGAAACTTCATGAAACATTCTGAATATTTCCATTTAAATTTGATTTCAGGTATCAATCTTAGATAACTTTATTTTTAAGATGTATGGGCAAATTTCATTCTGCCAAATAAAAAAAAAGATGTTGACTTGTCCTTGTGAGCGGAGTCCTGAGATGTATACTACTATTAATTAATTTCCATGAACTCTCAGCAATGCAGCTCTCCTGATTGTTGATTCAGATCTCAGACTTGTATTTTTCTGACTGAGCCATCAGCGTAGGCTATATGTCACCTTTGTGTGCTTATCAAAACATTTTTAAGCCCTTCATATCTTGTAAAAATAGTAAATAATACATTATTTTAGGCTGTAAAAGTTCTAGTCCCCACAAAGCAAAATTTTCAACGCTCTTCAATGTGTTTATGCCCCCTGAGGAGAAGGCGAGAAAAGCACTGAAAATCTGCAGATGTCCATTAGAAATATTAATGTATGTATTTGTACACAAATAATTAAGGAATAATTTACGAGAAAAATTTATATGACATGGTTTCTAGCAGTATTGGGTGACTAGGCCTTGATCCAGGAGATCCCCTCTGGTCTAAACTTCCTGAAACATGACTGTAGTTCATATAGCTAGCTCTTTGTGGCTGGGTATTTTTAACTAAAAAATGTAATTGTGATATATAGCTCTTAATTCAGAGAAAAGGTGCTCAAAATTTTGATGAAGTGTCTTAATAATGCTTTTTGCTTATTGTGATGTGTCTTGAAAGAGAGGATGTGTATTGGGACCAAATGCTGTGTCTTGGGACCAAACTTGAAAATTCTCATAATTCCTTATCCTGGGAATTTGGGATCGCAATGGCATTTTTAGACTGCTGCCAGCCAGTGTGGAAGGAACATTGCTTCCCAGATTTGCTTAATTTGGTGCTATTTCTGAGTTTGGGAAAGAGAAGCTTCTAACTGTGTAGTGAGATGAGATGGCAGTGCTGAGCTGGGATGACAAATGAGAGCAAAAGAGTATCAGCTTCATGTAGCTACTTAGCAATTTGATCTGTAATAGTGGCATGCAGCACATGGTCATGAGGCCATGCTTTGAGCAGGAAAGTCATGAACATGTAAGCTTGCCATGTCTGGTTGCATCTAGCTACAGGATATGACAACTGGGACTGTTGTAATGGCATTTGTTGCAAAGGTGGAAAAACCTGGTAGTATATAGAAATGTTCTAAAGAGCCTGGATTTGTTGTCATAATGAAGCTACAGATGGTACACATCCAATTATATACTTTGGGCTTCAGGTTCACTGAAGGTCATAAACAGCTATATTTCTCTGTAGTGGTTGGAATTTTATCAAGTAAGACTTTTTTTTCCATTAAGAACACCTAGTTGTGGTTAATACTTCACTTCTATTTGTAGACTTTGAGGAAGATTTTTCATCGACTTAGGTTTGAAAGAAGAGGTTATCTGCAGCAAATGATGGCACGGAGGGGCATTGGGTATCATCATGGATCTATGGCCGCCAAGGAAAGACAAGCAGTGGAGATGCTTTTCAGGCTGGGATATATCAAGGTGGGTAAATTTGAATCAGTTCTTTTATTTTATATTTTAGTTTCTCTGTGTATTTAATTTAAAAATAGAGTGTACCTTTCACCAGTGGTAAAATATATTGTATTGAGTTTGTCATGCTCATTTAAAAAATGTTGACATGAAGTTTTCCATACAAATAAAATAAACTAAATGAACTGATAGTGATAGAACTTTATTTCTAAGAGTTTCTATCCTTCAGATTAGCATATCATAGAATCATTTAGGTTGGAAAAGACCCTTAAGATCATCGAGTCTAACTGTTAACCTAACACTACCAAGTCCACCACTAAACCATGTCCCTAAGCAGCTCCTCTACCCATCTTTTAAATACCTCCAGGCATGGTGACACAACCACGTCCTTGGGCAGCCTGTTCCAATGTTTGACAACACTTTCGGTGAAGAATTTTTTTCTAATATCCAACCTAAACCTCCCCTGGTGCAACTTGAGGCCATTTCCTCTTGTCCTGTCACTTGTTACTTGGGAGAAAAGATAGAGACCCACCTCACTACAATCTCCCTTCAGGTAGTTGTAGAGAGCAATAAGGTCTCTCCTCAGACTCCTTTTCTCCAGGCTGAACAATCCCATTTCCCTCAGCCACTCCTCACAGGACTTGTTCTCTAGACCCTTCACCAGTTTTGTTGCCCTTCTTTGAACATGCTCCAGCAACTCAGTATCTTTCTTGTGTTCAGTTTTGGGTCCCTTACTGCAATATTTGAGGTGCGGCTTCACCAGAGATGAGTAAGGGAGACAATCACTTCCCTAGTCCTGCTGGCCCTCACTATTTCTGATACAGCATCTTTTAGGATGCTATTGGCCTTCTTGGCCATGTGGACACACTACTGGCTTATATTCAGCTGGCTGTTGACCAACACCCCCAGGTCTATTTCTGCCAGGCAGCCCTCCAGTCATTCTTCCCAAGCCTGTAGCGTTGCCTGGGGTGGTTGTGGGTAGCATTGCATGGGGTTGTTACTTAACCTTGTTGAACCTCATGCAATTGGCCTCGGCCCAGTGATCCATCCTGTCCAGATCCCTCTGTAGAGCCTTCCTACCCTCAAGCAGATCAACACTCCTGCCCAACTTGGTGTTGCCTGCAGACTTAGACGGTGAACTCAATCTCCTCATCCACATTGTTGATAAAGGAGCTGGCCCCAATATTCTGTTGGACAGAGCTGACCCCAATATTGAGTCCTGGGGAACACCACTTGTGGCTGGCCACCAACTGGATTTAACTCTTTGGACCTAGCCATCCAGCCAGTTTTTTGCTCAGTGAGAAGGACACTTGTCCAAGCCATGAACAGACAGTTTTGGGTGCATTAAGAAGAGTGTGGTCAGCAGGTCAAGAGAAGTTCTCTTCCCTCTCTACTGTGCCCTGGTGAGACCAGATCTGGAGTATTGTGTCCAGTTCTGGGCTCCCCAGTTCAAGAAAGACCAGTAGAGAGTCCAGCAGAGAGCTACAAAGATGATTAGGGAACTGGAGCATCTCCCTTATGAGGAAAAGCGGAGAGACCTGGGTCTGTTTAACATGGAGATGAGAAGACTGAGAGGGGATCTCATCAATGCTTATAAATACCTAAAGGGCTGGTGTCAAGAGGATAAGGCCAGACTCTTTTCAGTAGTGCTCAGTGACAGGACAAGGGGCAATGGCCACAAATTGGAACACAGGAAGTTCCACCTGAAGATGAGAAAATTTTTTTTTACTTTGAGGGCGACAGCACTGGAAAAGGCTGCTCAGAGAGGTTGTGGAGTGTTCTTCTCTGGAGATGTTCAAAACCTTCCTGGATGCAGTCCTGTGCAGCCTGCTCTAGATGTACCTACTTTGTCAGGGGAGTTAGACTAGACGATCTCCAGAGGCCCCTTCCAACCTGTACCTTTCTGTGATTCACCAGGAGAATGCTGTGGGAAGTGGTGTCAAAGGCTTTATTAAAGTCCAGATAAACAACACCCACAGCCTTTCCCTCCCCACTAAATAGGTCACCTTGTCATAGAAGGAGATCAGGTTGGTGAAGCAGGACCTACCTTTCATAAACTCATGTTGACTCTTCCTGATCACCTGATTGTCCTGTAGGTGCCACATTATGGCACTCAAGACAATCTGCTCCATGATGTTCCCTGGCATCAAGGTCAGACTGACAGGCCTGTAGTGCCTGGATCCTCCTTCTGGCCTTTCTTGTAGATGGGTGTCACTTTTGCTAACTTCCAGTTCACGGGACCTCCCCAGCTAGCCAGGACTGCTGATAGATGGTGGAAAGTGGCTTGGTGACCATTTCCACCAGCTGCCTCAGTACCCTTGGGTGGATCCCATCTGATCCCATAGACTGGTGTATGTTTAAGTGATGTAGCAAGTCACTAACCATTACCCCTTGGATTATGGGGGCTTCATTCTGCTCCCCATCTCTCTTCCAGCTCAGTGGGCTGGGCACTCAGAGAATAACTAGTTTTACTGTTAAAGACTGAGGACCTCAGCCTTTTCCTCATCCTTTGTTACAGTATTTCCCCTCACATCCAGTAAAGGATGGACATTCTCCTTGGCCCTCCTTTTGCTGCTGATGTATTTACAGAAACATTTTTTAGTTGTCTTTTACTGCAGCAGACAACTGAATGCGTTTTAGTTAAATGAACTCTATAGGATTATGATATTTTAGTGTCTTCATGGAATACTTCAATTTGTGCCCAATTTAATATTATTTCAATTTGTGTTCCTTAAAAGATGCGGTACAAACTTCCAGGAAACAAAAGTTTAACGTGTATGTAATAGCTATGTGAACTACACTGAAGAGTGAAATTCATGTATGTTCATAGCTCTGTTAAATCCATCAGTTTAAAGTTGAGCTATATGAGAAACGATAGTAAAGTTCCTGTTGATTGAAGTTGGATATTACAGGTGTGTTTTTTGATTTTTTGTTTATTTGTTTGTTTTTTTAAATTGGATATTGCCATTTCTAATAGATATACTCATGTTTGATATTTTATAGGTAGTCACAGCTACTTCAACACTTGCTCTAGGAATCAACATGCCATGTAAATCTGTTGTCTTTGCTGAAGATTCCATATTTTTAGATGCCCTAAATTACAGACAGGTATGGAAATAGAATGCCTACTTTTTATTACAAGAACAGTACACTTGTAGCTGTCATCACACACAGATTCAGAAAAATGTATTATCTTCTACATATACTTCTGGGTATGTTCTGAGTTTTAGCTGTTCATTTTGGTGGCAATAACAGTTTCAACCAAGCTAATTTTATTAAATGTTTCAGAACTGCCAGCCCACAAACAATGTATGTAGTCAAAAGACCTATTTCAACAACGAAAGTATTACAACTAGTCGGTGAATTAAAGGCATAGACTTGGCTTTTGGTTATGGGAGCTGGAAAGACAAAAACTGTTTTGTTCTAGCAAGGGTTTTACAAATACGTGAAAAATATGCTGTGAGAACGTACAGTGGACATGTAACAAGGAAAAGAAAGATTCCTTACTGGATTAATAGTCATTTCCTTCCATTCTGGAAGTGTCACTCCACACAATGCAACACAGCAGCGTGTAGATGAGGTTGCAAATGTGGTAAAGCAGAATGTCTCATCATGACACAACTTACTGAGCGGGCTGAGAAACTCTTCCTGCTCTTGTGCTACTTTTCAAACCTGTATTTTCATGAAGTACTGGCGGCTTGCCTCTGGTTCAGGAGGTCAGATAGGCCAGATGCAGCTGATTGCATCACCTGGCAGGTAGCTCTCAGAGTCAGTGTAATGGATCTGTGCAGCAGGCAAACCTACGTGCATCTCCCTCCTGCTGCACATAAATGATATGACTCTGGCTTTGTCACATCATCTGATACAAGGGGTAAGTCCCCATAATGGACCTGACCAAGGGGTGATCCAAGCAAGAGAATCCACCCTTAGGCAACTTCTCTCTACTCCTTATTCATGTTCTCTGCTCTTTATTCATAGTGAGACTACCTCTGCCCCAAATCTACCCAGAAATAATTCAGATTGTAACTTGAAAGTAACTTGAAAACAAAACTGGTGTATAGGTATAAATGAAGTTAAAACTTACTTTGAAGGAATAGAAATGTTAAAAAGACATATGAGAGAATGTAAGAATCCTGGCTAGTGTTTAGGTCTTTAACAAATTTGGAAGTTCATATTTTGAAAAGTAAATAAACCCACCACATTTGTAAACCAGCTATATTTTAGGTACAACATATTTTGAATACACCGTTTTAATAACTCTGCATAAATGCTTTATTAAGACTGTGTATATGGTACCAGTATCTACAACTTGGGTATATTTTATTTTTAAAATAATATTTTGTTATTTCAATAATATAATTATTAAATATTTTATTCTTAGATGTCAGGGCGTGCTGGAAGACGGGGACAAGATATGATTGGAAATGTGTTCTTCTATGATATCCCACTGCCCAAAGTTGAAAGACTTATCAAATCCAGTGTACCTCAGTTGAAAGGCCAGTTTCCTCTGACTGTTTCCTTAATTTTGAGACTCATGCTGTTGGCTGCAAAGGCTGATGACAAAGCAGATGCCAAAGCAAAGGTTTAATATTTTTTCATAATAGCAATTTAATTAAATTAGAATATCTCCTTAACATGAGCAGAAAGTTATGCACTTCAGAAGTAAACAATCTGCCTCCAAATGAAATTCCATGCTCTGCTATACTGCTTCTAGTACCTCTGCCATCTTCTCCACAGTATTGTACTGTCCATTTTCATGCATTTATTCTTTGCAATAAGTATTGTCATCAGAAAGAATGCTACTATCAGGAAGGTATTTTTACTGTCTCTTGTTTTATGCAGTATTTACATTAACTTGGAGAATCAGAAACTCTTCCAATATTTAAAACTTCAGCTTTATTTGAGGAAAAGATGTGAACGTACACTTCCAAAGGGAAGAGGGGAACGATGACATGCTATCTCAGTTGAAACAAGGAGAAAATTCTACGTATTATTCACTTGTTTAAATCTGCACACTAATTCTCTGGAATCAAAGAATTCTTATTCTTGCCATTTAATGCAGAGATTTAAGTAAACAATCCATGACCATGATTACAAATTGATCAGAGATCTCCTCCTGTAATCATTAAGGAACTCTTACCTCCAGACGATCTGTTTTTACATCCACTATCACATAGACATTTATTTTCAAAGACTCACTGAATGAATTCATACATAAGTCTTCTTAAGATATCAAAGTAAATTGGTAAACTTCTGTGCTAATTATTAAAATATTAAAATGATATTAGTGTAAGGAGTAATTTCAAAACTTCCTGGGTTTAGTTCAATGATATTTAAATCCTTGTATTTTACATCTCTGTATGAATTTCAAGTAATTAACTTTATAAAACTCAGCATAAATTTAGAAAATGCACACACACTTGACAGAGGATGGACTTTTTCACAAGCATTTCCAGGAGTTAGGCATTCAGTTTAAATAAAACTACAACATAGCCTCCACCCAGCATTTTTACCCTGAAAACCAGTAGATGAAACAAAGCTTAAATCTGGATATTGAATATCTTTGATTGTTACAATATCAACATTCTTTATGATTTCTAATGTCTTCTTCCCCCCCCCACCCTGTTTGTTTGACCAGGCATTGTCTGTCTGAAAACCAATAGATGAAACAAAGCATAAATCTAGATATTGAATTTATTTGCTTGTTACAATATCAACATTCCTCATGATTTCTAATTTCTTCTTTCCCTCCCACCCTGTTTGTTTGACCAGGCATTGTCTGTGTTGAAGCACTCACTGATGTCATTCAGAAAAGAAAGATATGCTGAAATATTAAAAATTTATTTTATGTTTTCCTTGCAATTTCTTATCAAAGAGGTAGGTTTTAACTCATTCTTATAAAGGGTAGTTCTTAAATATACAGATTCTTAGTTGTTTGTGTTAACACACTTTCATTTAAAGAACCATATATCTTATATTCCATAGCAACGGGCTATTTCTTTCTGTTACAAAGAAATTTAAGGAAACAGATAAAATTAGAGTACTTTAAGTTTGAGGTTAATTCTGAGCTAGTTATGTTATGGAATAAATTCAATAGGGAAAATCTTACAGTATGGTCTGTATGATTACAAAGGAATTAGGAAAGAGTTGTGCATTTATATTGTATATTAAGATACATGCATGTGAAATAATAGGGATTTAAAACATACTAAGGATGACATGATTTCTGAAATGATGGGAGAATCACAAAAATTGAGAAAGTAGGTCTTGGAGAAGACTGAAAATTAGTACTATATCTCTCCATACTAATAGTTTCAATTTGATGGATACCATTTGGGGAATTTTTTAGCATTACTCCATTTTGGCTTGCAGCCCAGAACTACAGGCAGTAAGAGGCACCAATAATGTGATTACATTAACAAAACACCTGCGCCCAGGTTTCCCAGTAGGAACCTTAACCAACATTTTTGCCTTCCCTGCTGAGTGTCCCTTGTATGTGAGACAAGGATTCTGATACTCCCATTGAAGAGAAGAATCTAATTGGTGTACAAGAAAGATCAGTAACATTTCCAAAAAAGTTACACTGAAGAACCGGACAAAACCTGGCTCACATACCTAGTATTCTATCTCCAATAATTTTCCCAGGGAACTGTATTAAAAACAAAAACAAAAACACCCCAAAAACATACACACACACAAATAAAACCACTACTGAAAAAACCTGAGGGCAACCATATATTGAAAATAATTTTCCCTGGGAACTGTAGTAAAAACAAAAACACCCCAAAACCACACACACACAAATAAAACCACGACTGAAAAAACCTGAGGGCAACCATATATTGATGATTCTTCAGATACTCCCTGCTTCCTTACTCGGCATGATGCAGAGTGATCTCTTGACAGGAAAGGTGTCCTGGAATTTATAGCCTTGGATGGACTTTTATTCCATGAGTTTGTCCTGGGTTTTTTTTGAAACTTTATAAGCTTCTAGCATCCAAACATCTTGCAGCAACATATTTGACAGATCACTGCCTGCTTGCCTATCAAACATTTGGGTTAATAGGGTTTTTATGATTAAAGTTGCATCAAACCTTACTTTGGTGACTGCATGCACTTTTCATTTGCAACATGATCTAAACTGGCACTGAAACTATGAAGTAAAGATCTATGCTTTGCAAAGGGAGATGAGGATCTCCCATGGAAATACTCAAATAGTTGACTTTTTTTTTTCAGTTAAGGACAAATTTTTGCCTTTCAGTGAAAATTGAATGGTCTCAGTAGGTACCTATGCATTACATTGAATTGACTATTCTTATGAATGCCACCATTTGATATTTTTGTCATATCCAAGTTCATCTTTCACAACTAAGCTTTTTTTGCTTTTAAATTAAATAGGGCTACTTGGATCAAGAAGGTAACCCTAGAGGATTTGCTGGACTTGTGACACACTTGCACTATCACGAACCTTCAAATTTTGTTTTGGTGAGCTTTCTTGTGAAAGGTTTATTCCACAAGTTGTGCCAGCCAATTAAAGGTAAATAATACTCCATGCATCTTAATTGCCTCTCTGGCAGGCTCTGTAACCCCAATAGTTCTGAAATTTTATGGCCTTTCTGGCCAAGTTCTGCCTTCTTGCTGCTGCCACATTTTGCTTGCTCAGCCTTCATCCTCATATCCTTGGCGTCTGCCTCTACATGCTCTGCCATATGCTTATATTTTTGTCTGAGAAAGCCAAGGCACACATATGGCAATGCTGGTATAATTAACCTAAATTTACTGTTTGTGAAACATTCTCATGAGGTAAAAATGAATGCTATACATAGAAAAATTAATAATTCTGACTCCAGACAAGATCTGAATGCCATGTAGCAAATAAGATGGACGCCCACTCTGAATATCAACAAATTAAAACAATGAAGTACTGCTAATGCCTCATTACATGAGTAAAATCTATTGTGTGCACATGCTGCATGCAGTATGGGAACATATAAGTATTTGTACATATTAGTTGCTTAATTATCTCCCAGAGTTTTCTGTATGTAATGAGTTTATCTCTATCCAACATAGTTTTGTGTCACTTCAGTCACGACAATGGCAGCTGGGAAGGAAATTCTTGAATAGTTAAGAATTTTTTTTTTCACACTTTCATATTTAACCCAAGTACTTTCTGTTTTGACATAGGCTCAACTGTTTTTTCAGAAGATGTCTTGGAAAAGCTAGTGCTCATTCTTGCAAACTTATTTGGGAGAAAATATCTTCCAGCCTGCTCAATGAAATATAAAAACACATTTTGCCAGTCAAAGGTAGGGAAGGCATTGGTCTTTACTGTAACTTACATTGTGTACCACTTCAGTGAACTTGTTTCCTTTTCTCAATTAGACTATTGTCATTAGGGATGTACAGTAGTCTGGTGGGCCAGCAGGTAGCTGCCTACCCAGCCTTTTTCTTACACCTCCATCTCAACAGGATGGAGGAAAAAATAGGATGGAAATGCTTGTGGGTCAAGAAAAAAACAGGGAGGTTGCTTACCAGTTATGATCATGGGCAAAACAGCCTCAACTTGTGGAAAATTAAATTAATTTGTTGCCAATTAAAATAGATTTTGTTAGTGAAAAATAAAAGTTTCAACACTACCCCCAAATCCCAACCCCCAGCCTTACCCAGGCTCAACTTTACTCCTTCATTCCTGACTCCTTTACCTCCTCCCCTTCCCCAAGCAGTGCAGGGCTGATGAGAAATGAGTTGTTGCGGTTGATTCTTAACAGCTCGCTCTGCTGCTCCTTCCTCCTGCCCTTCAGGATAAATCTGCTCCAGTGAGGGCTCTCAATGGGCTGTAGTTCTTTAAGGAAACACCCAGCTGCTCTGGTACGGGGTCTGTCACAGGCTGCAGTGTGGATATGTGCTCCAGCATGGCTGCAGGAAAGTCTCTACTCCACTGTGGTCTCTTCTACAGGCTGCAAGGGAATCTCCATTTCATCACCTGAAGTACCTCCTCCCCCTTCTTCTCTGATCTTGGTGTTAGCAGTGCTGCTTCTCACTCTACCTGGGTGACATTTCTGCCCTTAGAGGTACTGCAGTTGTGCTTGATGGGCTCAGCTCCGTCCTGTGGTGGGACCATTGGAGCTGGCTGTGTCTGTCATGGGGCAGCCCTTGGCCTCTCCTCATAGCAGCCAGCCCCGAAACCACGTGCCATTCCCGCCCCCAACACCTTGCCACCTATATGCAATACAGGTAGCTAGAATAATGAAAAAAGTACTTACAGGATTAAAATAAAGAAGCCTTGATTTAACCACAGAAGCAGCAGTTGACTGTCAGGTTAAATGAAAAGTACCAGATTATTCAAGTGTGTTTTAGTGATGACAGATGATTATACAGTTACTGTCATGATATTGCAAAATGTGAAAGTATAAATGACAGAGCATTTCTTTATACAATACAACACAACTCAACTATCTCTTCCCCAAATGGCAATTTACTTTCTTCTCACTCCTCTAGATTTTTTTTTCTCCATCTAGGGAGCTGTAGCTTTTTGTGACACATACCAATGACTCAGAAGGACGCCAGCATGCTCTGTGGTACATGACACTGTAGGCTTAGGGATTTTTTTCCAAAAATGGGACAATATTAGTAGGTGAGCATTAACATTTGTCATGCACAAAGTTAATGCACCATGGGTGAAACATACGTAATGTGCTTCTGTTGGCTCTTCTATGCAAAGCCTTAACATTTTGGAGGACACAGCTATGGTTGGAACAACAAAAACTTTTTCCAGATGAAGGTGTTTATGTGGCCAGTTTGCAGTAAGAGGAAAAATGTTATTTATTTCTGAAAAGCAGCTAGTCATGTAGGAGGGATTATGGGACTGCTGTGGCTAATGGCAGCAAAGCATCAGTCTGTCATGTTGGTAGGGAACCTATTGAATACCAAGATATGCAAAACAAGATCTGGGAAAGGTAGCCCTTCAAAAGTCCCTTTTTAGCCAGCTGAAACTCCTGTAATAGAGCTGTTTGCCAAGTACCCTGTAAATAAAAATCTAGGAATTTTATACTTACTGTTTATCTTCCATGCCTTTCTCTTAAATTAATGTTTATCTTTAAGATCTGTTAATTCTAGATGGTCAGGCAGTCTGACAAGTTGGATAAAGTTTGGAGCTGTACTCTTCCCTGCTTTCTTCTAAAACGCTATATGTGTATTAATAATTTATGCACTAATGTAGAACTGACATTTTTGGAAAAAAAAATGGAATTAAAAAATAAGCTGCATGTTCTTTCAGGTCTTTCTAGAAGATCTGCCAAAAGACTTTGCAGATGCTGTAAATGAGTACAACACCAAAGTAGAGGAAAATTTTGCTCATTTTCTTCTGACAACTGCCAAGCTGGCAGATATGGAACAAGAATACAGACTTCCACTCTCAAAGACAGGTAGGAAGTGAAAAATTAATGCATTTTCAGACATTTCCTTTATTAGGGAAGTTAGGTTAATTCTTATTTTGTAAAGAAAAAAATGGTAAATTCAGACACGCTGATAAAGAGATACAATTTCTATTTCACTTTTGTTTTACAAGCATTATTGATTATACTGTATATGGTAGAAGTTTTGCACAGGAAAAGGATCATTTTAGTTGCTATTCTCTTAATATTTTGTAGAGGTAATAAAAATCAAAGGGACTTTTTTTATAAAAGGAAAAATATATTAAGTGTAATTATGGAATAAAAGCTTTTTATCTAATCATCAGTGCATTTACAGATCCATAAATGCCTGTGATACCTGAATTGCTTTCAGAGTCTTACAAAGGTTAGATTTCCAACATCTGAACAGCCTTAAGGTTGAAGTAACAGAACATTGCACCATTTGTTATATCATCTAAGTTACTTATGCCAATAAATGATGTCCAATAACCAAAGCAATATGAAAAGGCATGACTATAAAATTACCGAGCAATATGGATTGCCATTGGGTGAAAAATATTTACTACATAATCTCATGTTAGTTTCTGGAAGAGAGATATAAAAGCAACATAATATACCACTATTCTATTGCCTAGCTCCTCTAAAAATAACATCCCTTCAAAAATACTTTTGCAGTAAAGAAGCACTTTAATTATAGGAGATACTATGATTATTCATCCTTTTTTCCTAAACTGATACAGCATTTTTTTTTAGTCTCTGCTTTGTACAAATTAAAAAACAAACAAACAAAAGCCCAAATCACCTTACAAGCTACCATATCTTATAATCCAGTCTAAGTTTCAAATATGTGGATACCTGGATCATAGAAAGTTTTGTATAAAGTGGATGTCAGCTTAATACAAAGGTGAGGCACTGGAGGTGATAAACCGATGATGTGAATGCAAACCAAGGCTGAACGCTACCTATGGCTTGAGGTGATAAATAGCAGTTTCCCACTTCCAGTACAGAGCACTGGGAAGTGCTGAATAATGGTATTACATTATCAACGCTATAGGGAAATCACATTCAATTCAAGATTGATTGCTTTAACAATGGAGGGACTCCACACCTTGTTGTGTTACCTGAAAAACATAGGAAATGAAGAGCTGTAAATCACATAACGATGAAATTCCAATTTAGAAGAGCAAGGGCAGCCTTGCATTTTCAGGATATATATTCCTTTATATATATATTAATGTTACTAATGCTACTTTTACCTAGGATGTGAGCTGTGGAAATTGAATTTCCTATTCTACTTGAATGGTAAAGTTTCTTGTTTAAAGGGAAGGTGTAATGTTGCATTCCCCCTGTTTTGCTGAAACTGTTTCACTTTGAAATAAAGTTTCCATTGAATTTACAGAAAATGAAATGCAAAACCAAAGACAGTGATTGAAGTTAAAGGCAGACCATAAGCCAACTGAAACACCATGCTGTTGCAAAAACAGAAATTCATACTGGGATGCATAAAGCAGAAGCCCTAACAGGGCCTTAGTTAGAATATTAATTATTTAGAGCTCCATGCTTCGAGAAAAATATTGTCTGGGAGTCCAGAATATAGTAACAGAAATTATTAGATGCCTAGCTATTAAGAGCTGCGAAAAACTTTTCTTCAATGTAGAACAGAATAAAAGATGGAGGTTAAATGGGTCTTCTAATAGTAACATTCCCTTTGTTTTTGGCACAACTTCATTCTGTTAGCAATATAGGCTACAGATGAGTCAAGGAGAAAGGCTTAAATTGTGAGGGGCGATTCAGATGTTATTCTTGCCACTAGAAAGCTCTTTCTTCTATCCTATAATCAGTTGTGTAGAGGTTCTTTTGAACAAAAGAAACAAATCTATCAAGAATTAATTAAGTTTAGAATAACTCTATTTCCTATTGTTATCTACTGAACTGAAAATTTCTTGCTTTTAAAACAGATTGCTGAAAGGGAGCTTGTGTCTGCATAGCTTATGTTGTATTTGAAACTTCTTCCCCAGATTTTACATCTAAGAATTGGCATGGCTCTGAACTAGCATCTTTTTTGATGGACAACACCAAAAGCATATCTGCTATTTCACCTTTTGCATGTCTATCTGGACTGACTGATAACGATCTATTTCACAGGGAAATGATTAATAAAGTAAGTTATATTTTCATGGGGGAAGGATTTTATTACAGTTCAATAAAAATATTTTATTATTACAGTCTTCTTGTTTCTCTGCAATACAATGGCATCGGGCTTAATTATCACCCTCTAAGAGAAACCGTTTGAAAGGTCTTAAAAAAAAAAAAAAAATCAGCACTGAGTAGCACCACATTATCAAAGTACAAGAAACACAGGATAGATGGATGTAGGGGAAAAAAGTGTAAATAGTTTGCTTTCTTGCAAGGCCTCTGTTCTTTTTGACTCTGAGACAATTACTTTAAAATTACAGATTCAAACCATGTTCCCAGTTTGTTTTCTCCACATCAGTTTATATTTTTTAAAACTAATCACACCATAGTCTCAAGGATCTTAGCAAAAGGGTACATTATTGCACTGAACACTTGCTTCTCAACTAAGATTTCAGTGATCATGTTAGACAGCATATGAATTAGCTTAATTGTAATATACATCTGTGTTTACTGACAGCTTGCGTTTTCCTGTGGTCTTCTATGTGGGCTTTGTAGCATTAGGGAATTATCACAGAACTTATAACTTTGTAATAGAAAAAGAAGAAAGTCCTACCACTGAGAATTTGAAATTCACCTTCACAGGTCCCTTCCAATCCCTAACATTCTGTGATTCACCCTTAAAATGTTCCATGCTTAAGGCTGATTAACTGATGCTTTGAATGTATTAGAGAGTGTGAATGCATGGCCTATGCATATGGAAAAATCCTCATCTAACACTCAAGAGAAACCCAGTGCCCCAGTCAAATTTTGAATCACTCAGAACGTCTCAGAACTGCACTGGAAGTATAAGTCACTTCACTAACTCTCTGCTGTCTCCACAGCCTGCATGTACTTGTGCAGATTTTTTGAGTGGTTCAGGATTAGAAGTGTGGAACTTGCCAGCTGTGGGCCTACAGGTGCAGGTTTGACAAAACAGGCTTGTAAGCAAAACCAAAACAGCTATTCAGTAGATGACTTTTTTTTTTTAGGCTGTCTTACGTTCCCTGGGAATTAATGTCACAAACTGCCCCCTGCTTTATTTGAACAAGTATGATAATCAAGGAAGGAGGAGGCCACTCAATGCATATGCACTGGACTTTTATAAGCATGGTTCCTTGATTGCATTAACAACTGATAACTGGTATGTACTGCCATTTTAAATATGGCTAAACAGCAGCATTGTTTACAGTATGGTAAGTAAGTTCGTATTTTTGTTTTTAAAGCCTTCTCCCTCCAGAACTTAGGGATGGAATAACTGTTAAATATTATTAGATTAGATGAATGTTTTAATGTGAATAAAACATGCTACATTAAAGTCCAACGGCAATGACCCAGGTACTTAAAGCAATACCATAAATGGCAAGTCTTGACTTCAATGACACAGGGTTGTTTTGACCAAGCAGTGGCATGATTTCAAACTACCTCTCCTTGCTTGCTGATCCAAAACAAACTCTTTTCTGGCACAGGAAGACTGCTATCACTGAAACCTGACTTTCACAGTAGCAAAGCAATATTTGACAGTAATTTAGTATTTGCTTCAGTACTTCCCCTTTTCCTAATCTTTTCTAAATATTACTCATGAGTCTTTTATATGTTTAATATAATTACAGAAACATGTGTCTCTATACCATTCGTCATTATTTTAAGCTTATAGTTATTCCACAATAATCCTAATGAACAAGTATGTCAGTGTTTGAGGCCATTGAGTATGCTCTCTGCATCTTACCCGACCTAAATGGCAGGGTTTAGCAAAGGTTAAACAGTATGTTATAGTGCATATCCATCTAATTTTTTTTTTTTTCTTTCTTTAGGTTAAATGAAGGAGATGCTTACTATGCACTCAAGGATTTTTCACTCCTCATTAAGTCTATTGGGTATGATAAACTTGTGCTTTTTCTATACAATATATATTTAATCTGTAAAGCAACTTAAAATGAAACGTTTTTTTTGTTTCTTTTCTTTTCTTTTTTTTTTTTTTTTAAAATAACCCCCAACAACCAAACAAAAACCAAACAGAACATCACTGAGTGAACTGTGTGATGATCCAAATGATAATGTTCTACTGGCATTTCAACAAGTGGGTGAAATCTATGAAGAGAAACTGAAGCTTGTTACCTGAAGAAAAAAGGGGGGGAAAAAAAAAAAAAAAGCAGCAGGACATAATAGTCTCACCCCACAGATCAGCCGCCTTTTGGGTTAGGAATTGACTGAGTCTGAGTTACCAAGTATGTTTCATAATAAAGCTTTCGTAATATCAAATATTAGTAATACAGAGTTTACTTTAGAAAATTAACCTTTACAGATGGACATCTAAATAATTGTTTCTAATAGATTACAAAACTAGGTAATTGCACATCTCTTTCAATTGCAAGTTATGGGGTTTTTTTTTGGATTTTTTTGTTTGTTTGTTTTTTTTTCAGGCAGTGATATGTATGTTAAGACAGCTCTCAAATATACTGAACAAACGTCAGAGTTCTCACAGGTGGTGAGATTAGCCTCTCGGTAGGAGAGCACTGGAAACTTTCTGCACATTTGTGAAGGATGTTCAGCAATTACTTTGGCAATTATAATCAAAGAAATTGTTCTAATTATTTTTCAAGGTTTCTATTAAATTATGAAGTAGTAGCTTCATGAACTATTATAAAAGCTTTTAATCTGGTCTGCAATTTTAGTCTGCAAAATTTTAAGTATAAAGATAGTTTTATATCAGTAAAGTTTGATTAATAAAATGTTACAACCATATGTAGAATTGCTTCTTTTTTCACCTCTTATATCCTTAAGAGTCAAAAAGATCCAGGACACCTCTAGCATACTCGTCAGAGTCCCTTGCAATACAAATTATTGAGTTTGGTAAAATACATTTCCTAACTATTTTCTTGGGGTTTTTTGTTGAGCAAAAAAAGAGCAAAGTTTTCAGCAATATTTTCGTACTATTCCTGAAAGTTCTTCTGTTTAACACTACATTTTAGTCTACTTGTAGTCTGAAAAAAAAAATATATATATACACATACTAATGTTTAGATAACCTAGGAAAATTAAGCTGTGACAATAGTCCTCATTCCCACACAGTTTTATAATTATGATCAAGACAGTGAGGGAAGTTATTCTCTATCAATAATAAGCAAAACATGCATTAAGGACAATTCAGAACCCCATTTCTTCAAATTAGCTTTGGTGTTCATCAGTCACTGATGAAGGTTTTGACTTGAAATCTCTTTAGGTGGCATTAAACTACACGCAACGCATTGCCAGGAGATACTGGGGGGAAAACCTGTGTGTAGTCAGGTAGCGCTGCTAAGCTACCATCAACTGACTTAAACAGTTTTTCAATGTGTGAAACAAAACTAGGACACACATGGAACACAGTGATAGAAAAGACTGCTTTAACTCTGCTTGGACAATAAAATTTAGTCAAATTATTTTTTACTGTCTGGCAAGTTATGCCACATGTAGAGAAATCTTGCACAACTGTTCCTCACCTACAGCAGAAGTGACCTTATTGAGACCTTTCCGTGTTCACGTTTCCTGATATAAATGAAATAATCTTTTTAGCTAAGACACAATTAAATGACCGAAGAATAAAGTCAGAAATTGGTCCTATTATGTTCTCAAGTTATTTGATGAGTAGGCATGAAATTCTGGGTGAAAACCAACCTTATTACCTCTATCCCAGGGTACTTGTTGCAATGTCTCTTAAAGCATTAGTAACAGCAGTCAACGTTTCACTTTTAATGATGTATATAAAAAGCACCTCACACCTACTATGACTTTTAGTAAGGGGTCAATAGTGAAAGGTGACCAAGTGATTAAGTTCAAATGACCAAGGAATCAACTTGTGAAAATATCAGAAAAATCAGTAATTCTACTGATTTAGTATCTGGGGGGGGGGACTGTAATTTTGCTGTGACTTATTGTAAATAAAACATCCTGCTTACCCATTTATCTCCCCTGTAAAATCCCAATGCTGAGCTATAATGCACTTAGACAGCAACTTGCCATGCTTGAAAAACAGTCCTAGGACCGTATGGAACCCACACACCAACAATTTCTGCTTTTAAAAATAGTGTATCATAGTCTGTTTATTTGCTTTATGATTTTATAACAGTGTCTTTTCATTAGAAGACAAAGTACCTGCTTTAAAGTTTATAAATTTTATCAAACTCATGAAACACTGTAATAGAAATGAACAAAAGATACATTGAAAATAACCAATTTTAAGAAACTCAAGAGGGTTTTGGAATAACCCTAACTCATTAAGAATTTTTTTTTTTTTTGTCACTGTAGCAGAAAAGGATTCTCTGCAACCTTCTGGCAACAAGTTTTATCTGTCTCTAAATTGTTCCATTTGTCTTGTTTTCACTACAGTGAGATAAACCTCCCTCCGTGACACTTTCTGCCATTTTCACAGTGCTCAGCCTTTGTCTTCCAGTAATTTAACTTAGTATGTTTTTAACACTTCTCTCCTACACATGCAGAAGAACATGGCAAGAATGTCTAGAGATAGACACGGAACAATTCTTAAGAGAAAACTGAAACGCAGTAAAACTTAGGAGATGAACATAAAGAACTATAAAACTAACAATAAAGACAATTTTCACCACCTTCCTTACTATAACACAGATATAAGTTCTACAAATGCTGAACTATTTTTCAGCACATATAACAGAGGAATGCATTGACATAGAAAAGCTGAGGCCAAGAATTTAACGCAAATCAAATTAAAATTAGCTCAACACTCCCTAAGCCACAACTAGTATTTAAGTATTCCGCAACAGTAAGTATATTGGGAAGCCTTGCAAAGATTTAAATTTAAGTAATATTTCTCTTGTGAAGTTAAAAAGATAATTTGGATAGGTTGGTTTTTTTTTTTTTTTTGAAAGACAACTATCTAGCTGCCCGTGAAAAATTCTGAAGGGATATTAAACCTTCTGATCTAATACTTATCAGCTGACTTATCTCCCTAATGCAGGATTAATTTATTTAAATATCTGGCACAGGCTCCTGCTGGAGAGTGAATCCTAAATGAAATAGAGCTTTAATCTGAAATAGTACTACTGTCTGTGTATTCTAATAGCTGAAACACAATTATCTCTTGGATGGAACAAAATGGTTAATAAATTAGAAAAGATGGTATTTTTGTCCTCACTTTGTATGATATTTCACAGACTAAAAATTCAGTGCATTCTGGATCATTAATACTTACAGTGCGAAGTCCCGTTTTCCTTTTTTCCTGTTGTTACTCAAATTTTAAAAGGAGATTTTTGTGTTTTAAAAGCTAGATTCTCCTAATGCTTTAATCAAAACAGCAAGTTATTATCTATCCACTGATTCCTAAACTGGTACCAAAGGAACTGAAAATTAATTGTGAGTTACTTTTCATAAGGCAGCATTTCAGAAATGTAGCTGATGCCCTTCTGCAATGCGTAACAAGAACGCTGATGAAGTGTTTCAATTTCAAAAGCCTAAGAAAAATTACTGAAATTACACTAGAAGTTGCAACTTCATTGCACATCAAGTACATCACAGAAAAAGAAAGCAGGCAGAGGGAGATACGCAAAACAATTTTCAGTAATGCCCTTCCCTTCCACATCCTTTGTCTTCCCCATGGCTCTTCTCCCCCCTGCTTATGAGGTGAATGCTATTGTTTGTACTCTCTTACTGATTTATCCCTGCTGCGAATGCTGCTGTACTGAGAGAGCAATGTACTGCTTCCTGCTGCTGGTGCTTCACTGAACCTGCTTTCTGGGACACCTCAGTCCTCCACCACCCACACATACCCCAGTGGCACTTCTCGGGAAGGGCTGAATTCTTAAACATACAGCATATATGGTCATACTGGAGTCTTTAACAAGATATGACATCTTTGGTTGTTTCTGCAGTTTGGGTTTGTACTACAAAAATCACTTTAGTACATTGTACTTGCTGATAAGCAGTTGTTTCAACACAGAGATACCTCAACTGGCAAGAATGAGGGAGAACAACAGCTGTAAAATCACAGGTATCCTCACTTTTTAATGTGATATGTAGCCTTTAATTCCAGCTTATTTAAGTATAGTTATCATCCATTTCACTCTCTCTTCATGTCTCCGATTCTTTTTTAGTAGGTATTTTGTCTTCAGCAACAGAAAGATATTCTGATGCGCTGCTACTATCAGTAGAGACAGATGTTTGACTTAGCTCTTCGGTGTCAGAATCGCTGTCACTGGGCATTCCTCCTGCCTCATTTACTGCTGTAAGCACAGAGCTTCCTAAAGATGGATCACTGCATGTGCCAGGAACAGAACAAGCTGCATTCTGAACACATACAGGCTCAGGATCATCTTCCCTCCCAGGACAGGAGCAGTTGTTTTCAGCAACAGTCTCACTCTCTTCATCTTTTATCTTTGTTTCTTGTTTTGCTGCTGCAGTAGTAAGTGGAGTGGAAGATGCATTCTCATATTTAACAGGAAAGACAACTGAGCATAAAGGCTGACCACAAGAAGAATTACTATCAGCAAACATTTCTGAACTTTCAGTTTTCTTCGATGAGTTTGCAGGAAAGCAAAAACCTTCACATTTTGGATGACTGCGTCTGGAAGTGGGCTCTACGCACTCTGAAGATACAGGCTTCCCTGGATTTAGAGGTGTTTTGTCAGGAGATTTCATCTTCTCTTTTTCTGTTTTTTCAGTGCCATTTCCAGACAAAAACACAGAGGAAGTCAGTGAATCAGATGTATTTCTGACAGTACTTCCAAATGAAAATACTGGTGAAGGCAACTGAAAACAGTTGTTTTTGAAGGAAAATGCGCAATTACTGGGGAGAAGGGGGGTCTCTGAGACATCATTCACCCCAGCTGCAGTGTTGGTTTCTGAAGTACTGCAAGCTGCAGCTGTCATGAATTCCAAAGCTTTTTGTTCCAATGAGACAGATGGTTTCTTCGTACCACATTCTGGAGTTTCCTTTGCAGAAAATGTGCTTTCTTTCATATGAGATGATGCATTTTTGTCAGATGGCCTCTCAGATTGGCTAAAAAGTGAAGGTAATGGTAAAGCCTGAAATGAATTGCTGACTCCTGGTCCTGCAAAACAATCTCTTTCTGAACTGCCAAAAGCAAATGAAAGATCTGGCTTCTCACTTTC